CATCAGAACCCTCCCCAGCCTGGAGGCCCACGGGATCAGACTCTCCTGCAGGAGTCTGGGGACAGAGATCTGAGATCGCTGACAAGTCCTTAGGTGTTTCCTATCGTCAAGCACACTTGGGAGTTCCTGGCACATTAGTGTGGTCCCAACCACTAAGTAATTTTTTTCAAAGCACTAAAAAACTAACATAAGGAAATACACCAAATCACTGACACCTGAAAGTGACAGGACTGTGGGCCTTACAAATTTTACAGTGATACGTACGTAATACTTTCATAACCAAAAATCTCAAATGTAAGCTATTTCACACCTTACAGTTGACAGCCTTTCCACAAACATTACCACATACAACATTCAGCAAGCCTTACATGGAAGAAGGTCAAGATTTTTATGCACCCTTTTCTACAGAGAAGGAACCCCTGTTTGGAGAAGTAACTTTCTCAAAGTCCCTTGCCTCCTGTGGCTAGGCAGTGACTCAGACGCAGGGCTGCTCTTCCCAGCCAGTCACTGATCCCCCAAAGCCTGGCGTCCGTCCTCACCTCCTTCTGGGCCACCTGGAAGGGGATAGCCTTGCACATGTGCTTCCGGGTGATGCCGCTCCAGCGGGTGCGGAAGTCCACGATGGGCATCTCAGGGCGGACGTACTTGTCGTAGAGAACATCGCCGTGATAACTCACCACTGAGCAGCGGGCCAGCTCGCTCACCCGCCCTCGGGGACCCGTGCCCACCATCTCACAGTCGATAGCCACACACTTGCTGGGCAAGGGCCCTCCGGATTCCCTGTGGGTGGTCTTTCTGCTACATGGGGCATCTCCAGTCTGAGCCCCTGGGCGCTGCCTCCCACTGCGGGCAGCGTCAGTGCCCAGCAGTGCCTCCGACAGCATGGGCAGCGGGGAAGCTCCTGGCTCTGGGGGTATGCCCAGCAGTCCCTGCTCCTGCAGCAACGCCTTCCGGGCCATGAAGCGCTGGTGCTGCCGGCTCTTCCTCTTGTGCTTCCTCCGAAGCACATCCTTGGCATTCGGGTTGGCCAGGGAAGGGCTGAGGCACTGGGCGGACCCAGTGGCTTCGCAGGGTACCATCCCAATCCGCTCACCCTGCCAACAGGGCAGCAGCCTGGAAAGAGAACACACAGGGCAGAAGGGCCAGGTGAGGAGTGTGCCAGGCCAGCCCTGCCCCCCTCCCTGCAGTGCTCCGCTGCTGGGCTGCCCTGGAGCCCGTACTTTGTCTCAGGCTCCCAGAAGGATTTGAGGACTTATTTTAGTAACTGAACCATGTGGTCGATACTATTGCATTTACATGGAATCAATCTTCCCCCAACAGCTCAAACAAAGTATTACTATTCTCGTATTACAGGTAGAAAACTGAGGCATCAAGATTGAGTAATTTGCTCAATTAACGAGACAAAAGTTGAGATGAACCCAGAATCCATGGTCTAAACCTTCAAGCCACAGCTTTCCTTCAATATGGTAAGCATCAAAAATTTGAGAGGTAGACTTATGGGAAAATAAAGGTTACAAGA